GGGGGGGGGTTGTGTCCACAAATCCACTTTGTGCAACCTCCTTTCATAATCATTAATAATGTTTACATTTATCAAAAAAAAAAAATCATTAATACTGTTTACAATTTATATATTTCTCTTGATACTTACTATTTAAAAGGCTGCCTAAGTGGAGGTAAGAGGACCTATAAACCTTATTCCTTGAGTGATACTAATACAAAACAGATTTCAAGCAGTTAAGCCCAACTGATCTGACAACCAAACTGATATAGGATGGGAAGAAAAAGGGCCTATGAGGTGTACATGATGGGTAATAAGTTGTGGAAGAAAAGATTCACATTGAAATGGAGAAGACTGCACCGAAGACAGTAGGGAGATGTTATTGACCCTTTTAGGTCAATCACATAATATCTAAGAAAGCATTCTCTCAAGTTAAAATGAAGCACATTTTATCTCTTGTATGGATGATAAGAAATTTTAGGCTGTATTTGGTTTGAAAGAAAAGGTAGGGAAACCAAACAGTCTTAGGTAATTGATTTGAATTTGTTGAATGCTTTTCTTTTTTAAATATGAATTTTTAATTATATTCTTTTTACTTTTAATATTGACTAATAGCGCCTTTTCTTCATTTGCAGGGTGGGGGCTCATCAAATTCTATGTTTGTACAGTCATTGAGGGGTGATCCTTTTAGGGTAAGCCCCATTTTATGAATAGACTTGATTAATAATCAGGTCTTTTAGAGAAATTTACACAACCCAGGTAGGAAGATGGTTTGGGCCCCAAAATGTGCTCCGGGTGTCTCTCCTCACCTCTTATGTAGGAGAAATTTCTACCTAAGAGACCTAATTACGAGTCTAAAATAAGCCCTTTTATGTGGACAACTTAAAAACTAGAAAATTGAAACTCTGAATTGCTAATTTTTTTGGGGAAACTGACAAATCAAGGTGGGATATGGGACTGATGTAGAGAATGAATTTGAAAATAGGGACAGTATAGAGGTCCCTTATTGTATGGACAGTTCGGACATCAACATTATCCCCTCCCCCAAAGTGGCAGAAATAGACTAGAGCCCATAAGGAATCTCCTACTTGACCTAATGGGAAGTTTTGAGAATGTGTTTTTCAGTTGGTCGTCTATTGAGCTTCCCTAAATGGCACAAGGATCTTATATGTACTCTCTTGATTTGGAGATTAAAGGGAGTCTCCTAATTCCTTTCCTCATGGAAAGGTTTCTGCCAAAAGATCTTGCATTGTCTTCAAAATAGACCCTCTTTTATGGAAATATTTTTCATTAAAAATTTAGTATGTAGATGGGCATTATTAACCGGACAGAACTCAATGCAAGGTTGGGTATAGGGCTGATACAGACCATGGAGTTGATAACAGGTTGTCAATCTAGATCTGCCATTGGTAGGAATGCAACTAGGATTGAGGATTTGTTAGAATTTGAGCAGGCCCCAACCCAAGACTAAGCCTGGAGTGGGTGAAATTCTTCAAATTGGGCAATCCAATAGAGAGTACCTACTTCACCCGATTAGGATTTAGGAAACCTTTTTACTGCTTACGTACATATATAAATTTTTTAATATAAAAATATCCATTCTCATTTTGACTTATACTGAATTCTTTTTTTTTTCATGTAGTGATCTATAATAACATAGAGTTGATAATTTATTAGGACCAGAACGTCATTCTCCTTTTATGTTAATCGGGATTGACTGAACCTCATGAATACTGAACCCTGAGCTAGTTCTATTCCTATACTCATTTACCTTATAAAGTAAATGTTCAATAAACTAGTTGACAAATTGGACATCTCTACTCAAAATCCATCCCCCACCCCCAATTTAGGAAGTATAGAAGCATGGTTACCGTGTAATAAAATTTTGCTTTCTTATGGATCCAGGATTTCCACATGAGTGTCCTAGCAGCCTATATGCGCCCCAGCTCAAAGTCTGATATCATTAAGGTAGCTCTTATTCCTGCGACATTATGTGGTTGTTGACTGTCTCAATGTTTGTGTGAGGATTGCTAAGTGTTCGAAGGTCTTGCTGCAGGTCAACTTACTAGAACCCAGCAGCTATTCCAAAGAGTGCTCCTATTGTCAGCACTGTTGTCCTTCCTACAGTAAAGGAGGTTGATTATATGTATCAACTTGTATTCCAATGTTGTAAATAATTTTGTATAGAAATTCCTTGTGTTGATATCACATTGGTGTTTTAGTCTATTAATGGATACAGAACAAAATTCATGTCTGCTCCTAATTTTAAATAGATGATATTTGTGTATGACCGATTTAACAGTTTCTGGAATATCTCAAGCTCGACGACGTATTTACTATTTAGCTTGTGCAAGCATGGCCTGATTCGGCCTGCAGGGGCACAACCTGATTTACACCTCTATGCATATGTCACGTTTGACTCCATCAAGTTTGAGAATCCATTTGGGAGGATTTCAACTTTCAATTTTGATTGCGCCATATCAAAGAAGCTATAAAAATGGATTCTTCGGAAAGTTAATTTTTTGGCTGAATTAAAACATAATCTGACTTCTTTCAGGGTTTTTCACCAATATAGCTTCAAGCATGGTTTTTAAATCCGACCCGGTGACCGAACCGGTCAGGGGTCCAGTTACCGGGTTGAATGGTCTGACCGTTTGAACCAAATGCTCAGCCCATTCTGACATAAAAATAAAATAATTTCAAAAAACAAAAAATGGTCAAAACCATTCGAACGATTAACCACCCAGTTCAGTGGTGCTGACCAAAATCAATGATTTTGGGGGAAAATCCGGTTTTAGGGGAAAATGGAACCGATCAGATGGCCGGTTCCCGGTTTTTCTGGTCTAGTCTGGTTTTGAAAACCATGGCTTCAAGGCTTTCCTGTAGGGCCCATCTTACAAAGCTGGAAGCCACTTATAGATGCAAAAGAATCACATCAGATTTAAATTAGGGTATACTGAACCTGATCCGATGCCATAAACTATAGATCTGATCCAAAGATCCGATTGGATTTTACAAAATTGATCTGAACCAGAATCTGATAAAGATATTAGTTATCCAAATCTGATCTGATTCAATTTAATTATTTAAAAAAATTAATAAATTATTAAAAAAAAATATACAACAGTTTAAATAAAGAAAAACATAAAAGGATAAATTACAAAGACCCCATGTATTATGGGGTCAGTGACAAAGACACCCTGCACTTATTTTTGTGATAAAGACCCCTAAACTCTAGCCATTAGACAAAGATCCCCTCCATTAACATTAACTTTGAAAAAGATTCTCGTATGACTGTTAAAAATTTTCTAAATGCCCAAATTATCCTTTTTATGATTTTTGTTTGTTAGGTTATTCATACTTGAGTGCTTGTGCCACCGGTTACGATTCTTGCATGTGTGCACCTCTCATGTCTACAGATGTTCTAATCGGATTGCACATAACATTATGAAATTCATTTGCTCTGTTTTACACCTTCCATTTTCCACAACCGAAGCAGATCTGCTTTTTTTTTTTTTCTCTCCCTCTCTCTCTCTCTCTATCCTCCGCCTGAGGAATCAGGTGTCAATCGTCTCCCCCCACCTGCCCCACCCACGCCCCACAAGAGAGGATTGTTGGTGAGTGAAGCAGTAAACTAATGGGGGCAGCGGATGGCATGCGCCAAGGGGCTGAGGGTTTTTCGTCTTTTTAGTTCAGTGGAAAAGAAGTTATAGTTGCAAATTTGCAATGTAGTGGGTTTATTTATTTCTGGGTTTTCCTTATAGTTTTATTTGGCTAGTGATCATAGATTTAGGGAGCACAGTTTAGCCAATTTGAGGATTAGATGTCAAGAAAATTAGTTCTCTAGATTATGATAGTGGGCATGAGCATGAGAGTGCTAGTGTATCATATCATCTACATTTGAGTTTCAGAAGGCAGAAGGCAGAAGAAGGTGCGCCACAAAGAGTGCCATATGCTCCACTCTCGCTCGAAACCGCCAGCAGCAGCACCTTCTAAATGGGATGATGCACACAAGTGGATTTGCAAGCCCTACTTCAAATCGGCCAAACTGCCTGCTACTGCTAGGCAAGTTGTTGGATCGGATCAAAGAAAACTGGTTTGCTTGGTTATGGAAATCGTCAATCGGCCAAGATCGAAGGTCGTCATGACGCCCAGCAAGTTCGACATTGGCTACGCCTTTCCATCATCCCACTCTCAATGCCAAGTATGTCGAGGGGTGAGAAAGGCATGAGCCAACTACCAAACCAACCCCACCATGGCAGCAGCATTCAACGACGTTATGACGTCCATGTACTACCAGAACCACTCTCAATGCCAAGTATGTCTGAAGGGGCATTCATCACAACTTAAAAGTTGAGGAGGGTCTTTATCACAAATTAAAGTATAGGAGGGAGTCACTGACCCTATAGTACAAGGGGCCCTTTATAATTTATCCTACAACTATACAAGTATTGTTTTTTCTACTGTTTTCCAAAAATCCAAATAGATTAGAGATATCCGAAACCTACCTACCCACAAAACGCTACAGTTCAATACCACTTGGCTTGTGTAAAAGCCCTCTCAAACAGCACTGACTGTAGCATCTTGTGGGGTAGGGTAGGTAAGCAGATTCAGTCTCTTCTTTGAACATGTGGCATAAGTGATCCAAATGCCAGGTGGTGTGTTGAACTGTTGACTGAGTGATCCGAATCGGGATTCAATCCTCACAGCCCTTATTGTCGTGTATTGAGAACATATTCCTATGAATCATGAATAAAAATATACAAAGTATGGAGGAGATGTTCTGAAGGCTCAAAGTGTTGTGAACACAGTGTATGGACCAATTCGTCATGATCATACATGGATGCTGATCATCCTATCCACAAATCTCATTTTTAACGTTCTTGATTTAAGCTATCCATTTGACGACCCAGATCCTTTGGTAAGCTTTAGCTTGGATGTATGCCTTACAGTGGACCCATAAAATTCAATGGACCAGTTTTGGTTTGGATTTCGTTCAAATCTAAATCAATTTGAACGGATTAGATGGCTCAATAAGATATTGAATTGGATCATGATCTAAGGTATTTATTGGATTGGGTTGAACCTGATCAATTCATAATGAATTTATATTGGATTGGATTAGATTAAACCAATATCAGAAAATAAGAATACAGGTGTAATGGACTAGGTTTGGATTAGAATTAATCTAAATTAAAAGAAATTTGTATAGATTAGACGGTCTAAAACATTGATTAGACCAGTTCAAAATATTCATTGGATTAGATTGGACCTAGTTTATTTGTAATGGGCTCACATTAGATGTCAAAAGAACCACCGGCATTGTTTACGAAGTTTCAACGGCAAAAAAATTTTGGCAGAACACTGGGTCCCTTTTTTTTTTCAAACCTTGTTAATACGTTTTTGCCTTATTAATACGTCGGTCTCCAACTCTAAGGAGGTTGTGAATTGTGAGATGATGTGTGCGACATATGGACTCCTACCAACTACCAAGTTACCAAACACTCGTACGTTGATCCCACGCAAAAGACAAACGACGGTCGCTGTTAACGGATCAGAGTCGATCTTGTTGTACGTGCGTTGGACGGTTGAACCTTGTCAGTGTCCCACCTACTTTTACAGTTTACATAAGATCAAGATGCTACTCAAGCTGTAAACTGTGTGGATCCACTTAACACAGTCAAGAGGTCTGAATCCACTCAATTTCTTATAATAGAAATATACAATGTGTTCTAAATTGGGCCTCCTATAGTCCTATTCGGTGAAAACAAACAACAATAATCGTAATAATCCTTTTATATCTTCAGTGCAAATGTAAAAATTTCAGTCCAAATTAGTGTTTTCAATTCGTCATTGACTCGTTTAATTGAACTATTTGAATTATCACCCAGTTTGATTTTGGGCCCATTTTTATTCAAATCTGTTGGGTCAAAAATTGTTGGTTTGGTTAAAAATCATCAAATTCAGGTGGTTCAGCCGTTGATGTGTTTGACCCAATCACCGAGTCATGGGTTGCATACTTAATGTATATGTAAATTTTTGGAGATTATAACTTTGTACTATGATGTTCAATTGGGATGATATTCTTTTTGATTTTTGATAATTTTTCAAAATCTGTGTCCAAAGCAAGGTTCAAAGTATCGACACGTATCGGCCCGTATCAGTCGATACGTATCATTTCGATACCCCTCTGATACACCCCTACAGTGGGTGTATCGAGGGTCTGGCTGGTTCAGGGTGTGGAGGAGGCCTAAACCGGCTCCCTTGAACCCATTGCAAAAAAATAAAAAATAAAAAATTGTATCGATTCGCCCGATTCACCCATACCAGCATATCAATATTTTGAACATTGGTCCAAAGGCATCATAGCATTTTCTTTACCAAAAAAACCTTTATATATATATATATATATATATATCTGACATGGCATAGTCTGACTTGTTTAACCTGGATGATCGAACTAGTGACCCGTGATTTAAAAACACAAACGGTTTAGCCTTTGGATCAGTTTTTAAAACATTGGGCTAAATGTCAATATATACTGTTCATAAAAATATAAGTTTGGTTTGATTATGCATTGATAAACATAAAATGCAAATGGATTGTATCAAATGATAAACCTGGAGCAGGTTAAGGTCGGGCTTATTTAGGGTTAGAGTCTCAATTCTTCACCTGGTTGGGTCATGATATCCCTGTGTATTTTTATCACTTTGCGTGCATCCTTAGGATTTGTTTTCATATTTCTTTGATTTTTACTTTCTTTCACCATGGAAGAAGTGACACTGGGACCCTTTAAACCAAATTTCAATTGGAGGCATTGGAAGGTTGGTAAACTCATACCGAATCCAACCCACTGACACCCCGAGATATGCTTTGTATTCTAGTTGTAGTGGTACAAAAACAAATCCCAATACTAAAATCTGCCTTTGTTTTTACATGGACCAATTTTGAGCACAAAAACTAGATTTCATTCCAAGATGCCGGTTAACTTGATGACTAAACAGGTATTTAGGTCGATGATGATTCCTTTGATTTGCTATTATTATTATTATTGCTGTCATGTCAATCAATTTATCAGAAATTGGTTATGAATTTATTTGATAGTGATACTATCTCCCCTATCCACTCAGATGCCACATCATCCAAAAAATCATTGATTTTTCTTATACAGTGACTCTTCATTTTAGTTTAATTCTAATAATTGATTTTTGACTGATTTGTTCAAAACTGTCAACCAAATAGCAAAACTGCAAAATTGTCAGCTGGTTGTAGGGGACTTAGGATCGA